TAGCAGCATGGACGTCTACAAAGTTATTAAAAAAGGTAAACACAACAACTTACTTTACCTCCTTCAGTACAACTAGTACTTCAGTATAGTACAACTTTAAAGGGTCATGAATGCATATATTTATTTTTAAAAAAATGTGTATATCATAGAATCCTAGTATAACCTAGAGTCCTCAAGCAGTTAGTCTATGTAAATAGAAAGTACACAGACTATTGAGATTTTAAATATGATGTAATCCAACAGTTAAGACTAGAGTTGAGCGAACCCGGACTGTAAAGTTTTTTGGACCCCAGACCCGAATACGAATACAGACATATCAGTGTATGTTCGGGTTGGAGTTCGGTGTTTGGCGATTTAATGGCACGTTTTGAAAGGCTGCAGGGCAGCCAATCAACAAGCATTTGACTTGTCTGCCCTTAGAAGCCATCACAGCCATGCCTAGTAATGGCATGGCTGTGATTGGCCAGTGCAGCATGTGACCCAGCCTCTATATATAAGTTGGAGTCGCGTAGCGCCGCACGCACATGAGCTCTTATTAATGTAGGAGGATGCTGCAGCTGTTAGGGATAGATTAGGAAAGAATTCTGGTGTTGAATCTGCAAACTACAGCGATTATTCAAACTACCGCGATTATTCAAACTACAGCGATTATTTTTGTGGGTGCTATAGTACTACATTTTTGTACGCTGACCTGAGCCCAGTGCCACAGAGAGTGCAGTGCACTTGCAACTGCATGTGTGCCAGGCACATTACTTTAATCCTGTTCTAGTAGCTCAGTGGGCAACATCTAGGCATTGTTAAATACTGCAATTTTTTTAGTGCTAAATAATACATTTGCGTACTGCAGATAGAACCGTCAAATACTGTGCTTACATTGCATTTTTAAAAATTCTAATTCTTTAGGAGCTAAAAAGTCAATTTGCTGTCTGCACTTTATATCTGAGAGTCAAATAGAACCATCAAATACTGTGCTTACATTGCAGTTTTAAAAATTCAAATTCTTTAGGTGCTAAAAAGTAAATTTGGTGCCTGCACTTTATATCTGAGACTCAAAAATTCAAATGCTTAAAGTGCTAAAAAGTCAATTTGGTGCCTGCACTTTATATCTGAGAGTCAAATAGAACCGTCAAATACTGCTGTGACATAGCAGTTTTAAAAATTCTAATTCTTTAGGTGCTAAAAAGTCAATTTGGTGCCTGCACTTCATATCTGAGAGTCAAATAGAACCGTCAAATATTGTGCTTACATTGCAATTTTAAAAATTCAAATTATTTAGGTGCTAAAAAGTCAGTTTGGTGCCTGCACGTCATATCTGAGAGTCAAATAGAACCGTCAAATATTGTGCTTACATGCATTTTTAAAAATTCAAATTATTTAGGTGCTAACAAGTCAGTTTGGTGCCTGCACTTCATATCTGAGAGTCAAATAGAACCGTCAAATACTGCTGTGACATAGCAGTTTTAAAAATTCAAATTCTTTAGGTGCTAAAAAGTCAATTAGGTGCCTGCACTTCATATCTGAGAGTCAAATAGAACCGTCAAATACTGCTGTGATATAGCAGTTTTAAAAATTCTAATTCTTTAGGTGCTAAAAAGTCAATTCGGTGCCTGCACTTCATATCTGAGAGTCAAATAGAACCGTCAAATATTGTGCTTACATGCATTTTTAAAAATTCAAATTATTTAGGTGCTAAAAAGTCAGTTTGGTGCCTGCACTTCATATCTGAGAGTCAAATAGAACCGTCAAATACTGCTGTGACATAACAGTTTTAAAAATTCTAATTCTTTAGGTGCTAAAAAGTTAATTAGGTGCCTGCACTTCATATCTGAGAGTCAAATAGAACCGTCAAATATGGTGCAGTTTTAAAAATTCAAATGCTTTAAGTGCTAAAAAGCCAATTTGGTACCTGCACTTCATATCTGAGAGTCAAATAAAACCGTCAAATATCGTGCTTACATTGCAGTTTTAAAAATTCAAATTATTTAGGTGTTAAAAAGTCAATTTGGTGCCTACAGTTCATATCTGAGAGTCAAATAGAACCATCATATACTGTGCTTACAGCGCATTTTTAAACATTCACATTCTTTAGGTGCTAAAAAGTCCATTTGGTGCCTGCAGTTCATATCTGAGAGTCAAATAGAACCGTAAAATACTGTGCTTACAGCGCATTTTTAACCCCTTAAGGACGGAGCCAAATGTACACGTTGTGAACAAAACAAAATGTAAACAAAACCTGGCATTTGCGCTACATGTCTGTCCAACCGTAATACACCTCTTTCATAGTAAATGCACTCACCCTTATTATATATCATTTTATTCAGGGGAAACAGGGCTTTCATTTAATATCAAATATTTAGCTATGAAACATAATTTAATATGAAAAAAATGGGAGAAAATACGATTTTATTGGATTTTTTTAGTTCTACATGACAATTAAACGGTCAGTGTCATAATACTGTTTGCTTTTACTGCAATAAAATACACATATTTGTATTCAGCAAAGTCTCACGTGTAAAACAGTACCCCCTATGTACAGGTTTTATGGCGTTTTGGGAAGTTACAGGGTCAAATATAGCACGTTACATTTGAAATTGAAATTCGCCAGATTGGTTACGTTGCCTTTGGGACTTTATAGTAGCCCAGGAATGAAATTTACACCCATAATGGCATACCATTTGCAATAGTAGACAACCCAAGGTATTGCAAATGGGGTATGTCCAGTCTTTTTTAGTAGCCATTTGGTCACAAACACTGGCCAAAGTTAGCGTTAGTATTTGTTTGTGTGTGAAAATGCAAAAAACGCCAATTTTGGCCAGTGTTTGTGACTAAGTGGCTACTAAAAAAGACTGGACATACCCCGTTTGCAATACCTTGGGTTGTCTACTATTGCAAATGGTATGCCATCATAGGGGTAATTTTCATTCTTGGGCTACCATAGGGTCTCAAAGGCAACGTAACCAATCTGGCGAATGTACATGAGGGGTATTGTTGTACTCGGGAGACTTCACTGAACACAAATATTTGTGTTTCAAAACAGTAAAAAGTATCATAGCAATAATATTGTCCGTTTAATGCTGTTTGTGCGTGAAAAATGCAAAAAACGTCACTTTTACTGGCGATATCATCGTTGTAATACATTTTACTGTTGTGAAACACTAATATTTGTGTTCAGCGAAGTCTCCCGAGTAGAACAGTACCCCCCATGTACAGGTTTTATGGTGTCTCGGAAAGTTATAGGGTTAAATATAGTGCTAGCAAATTAAATTCCCTTTACTTTCGGCATGGGTTGTCATGCAGGTCCTGCTAATTATAATTAATTAAGATACCTAATTATGTAAAAATATTACATAAATATATATGTAGAATCAATATATGTATATATATACGTATGTGTATATATATGTATATCTATATAATTTTTTTAAAATATTTTTATTTATATATAGGTATATATATATAGTGATATATACGTATATATTTATGCGTATAAATATATATATTATTTCGTTCTATGTGTATTTTGATATATATATATATATATTAATTTCACAATACAGTTAGAACGAAATAACACACATCTATATATTTTTTAATTATTTATTTTTAATTATTTTTGTAATTTTATTTTTTAACGTATTTACATTTAATTTTTTTTATAATATATATAAATATATATATAACAATAATTATATATATATATTTAATCAGTATCAGTGTACGTGTAATTTGATATTAATATATATATATAATTATATATATATTAATAGTAAAATACACCTAGACGGTGTACATGTGTGTATGTATATGTGTATATATATACTTTGATCATATATATATAATATATATATGATCTAAGTATATATTATTTATTTTTTTACACTATTTATTTATTTCATTTTTATTTTCAGCCAGCAGGGGGACCACCTGTCATTACAGGCAGCCCCCTGCTGGCAATACAGAAGCCAGCTATCCCCGGCCATGTGATTGTGGGGTCCTCGCTAGGACCCCACTCTCACACGGCCGGGGGGCTTCCTGGAGGACGGTCGTGCCGCGGGGGGCTCCCTGGGAGTCCCCCCCACCGCGATCGCCGGCGTGGGACCGCCGGCGACCGGGTAAGTACAGAAAGACCGGAGGGCGTACTATTACGCCCGGCGGCGTTTAGAGCCGCCTATTAGAGGACGTAATAGTACGCCCTCCGGTCTTAAGGGGTTAAACATTCGAATTCTTTAGGTGCTAAAAAGTCAATTTGGTGCCTGCACTTCATATCTGGTGTATGTGTGCAACACTGGCTAGTTACCGCTTCTCAAGAAAGTCTAAAGACTTTTTAAAAAAGTGAAAAATAAGTGTTATTGTGATCGCTTCATATACAGAAGCATTAATATACATTTCTATATTGTGTAAAGACACAACTACAAAGTTAAAAACCAAACACCAAAACAACGTGGAATGAAGGTCATGCGAGGGACGTGTGCAGTTTGGAGAAAGAGGCGCTGGTCGCACAGAGGCACCACTACAGCATAAGAGGGAGCAGGGTGCAAAAGTGGAGCGGCCATACCCTAGCGCTCGTTGGCATGTATTATCTTTAGAATTCCCACAGTTAAACAGATGAACCGATAAAAGGAACAATAACAGATTTAACAAGCCATTCGCAGTTTCGCAGTCCGGTGACCCGGACACAGACACTGTCTGGGCGGCGGTCGTACAACCGGGACCCAGTATGCCTGATGTTGAAGTTAGGAGTCACAGTGTGGAATGGATTAGCAGGGTCTGGTGCAGGGAAACCGCACGCCCCCTGGTATTGAGCACCAGCATTTGTGCGGCCACATACCAGGACCCTGATGCATCTTCAGCGAGCAGCAGCAGGCGATAGTGGAATTTCAGCTGCAGCATGCACGGGTCAGTCGCTCTGCACCATACTTGCCCTCCAATTGATCCAAGTTAAAGGATTTAAAGTGGACTCATTACAATTACTGGGCCTCGTAAGAGTAGTGTATTATTATTTGTCGTCACTACCTCCCCGCATCGGGAGTGGGTAATTTGCTGCCTGCTGCCTTCCTTGCATGTGGTAGCCGTTTCTCAGGTTCTCTCTCTGGAATCGAACCCTGATTCCCCGTTACCATGGTAGGCGTGAAAAATTGCATCAAAAGTTGATAGGGCAGACATCCAAATGCGCTGTAGCCATTACGGGGACGTGCAATTGGCACGAGGTTATCACAGACAAGCACAGCCGTCTGTCCATGGCCAATGTGGACAAGCTCACGTTTATTAAAATGAACCAGGCATGGATCCCACCAGACTTGTCTGTACCTTGTGCAGAAAAGACATTTATACCGGCCTCACCCGGCCATTGTTATACTCAAGTGCATTATTTTGGGGGCTACACCAATTAAAAAAAACAATGTTGGCTACCTCCTCCTCCTCCTCCTCCACCGCCGCCGCTTCCACCTACACCGCCATGGTGTATACCCAGATATATCAGAGCTGCTGCAGAAAGTGTGGGCCGTCTGTGCGCTCTTTTGACGTTCTCAACCGGCTGCTGCTTGCCCGTAACTTCGGCCTTCCCGCTCACCGCCTCATAAGCGACGTGCTCATAAGGCACCTTGCACCTGCTGGAGAGACTGTGCAAGCAGCAGCAGGCGATAGCGGAGTTTCAGCTGCAGCACGCACGGGTCAGTCGCTCTGCAGAACAGCACCACTTCACCACCAATGAGTGGGCCTCCATGAGAGACCTGTGTGCCATGTTGCGCTGTTTCGAGGACTCCACCAACATGGCCAGTGCCGATGACGCCGTTCTCAGCCTTACTACAGCTCAACTCTAGTTAAGACGCATTACATGTTATAAAAGGGGCTTTAGGTTCTTAAACTTACCAGTTCTTTCAGTATACAGAATTATTTTCCTTTTTTTTCATCAATTCAAGCATATATCTTCTAAGCATATATCCTACCTTTGATAAAACACAGAGCCTAGGTCCTGTACCCAGTGGGAGTTACCATCAGTTTTACTACTTGAACCATTTGTTCAAGAACATTTATTAGTGGATGTGTAGAAGCTATGATTCCCCAGGGTTGATTATGACTAGAGTTGAGCGAACCCGAACAGAAAAGTTCAGGTTCGTACCGAACATTAAGTTTTTTGGACCCCGGACCCGAACACGGACATATCACTGTATGTTCAGGTTGGAGTTCGATGTTCGGAGAATTAATGACGCGTTCTGAAAGGCTGCAGGGCAGCCAATCAACAAGCGTTTGACTCGTGTGCCCTTAGAAGACATCATAGCTATGCCTACTAATGGCATGGCTGTGATTGGCCAGTGCAGCATGTGACCCAGCTAGTAGGGGCATGTCTATTAAACAGTGAGCAGCGTGTGGCTGCTCACTCTTAAAAAAATTAAAAAAATAACCCCCCATTGAGCTCCCACCTGTGACTGGCGAGTGGGGGCTTTTAAACTAAAGGGGGACCTATTGTCCCTGAGCGGCGGATGGGGGCCCTAAATACCAATAAGGGGGGACACCTATTGTCCTCCCCCCCAGTCCCCACCCCTGAGCGGCGGGTGGGGGCCCTAAATACCAATAAGGTGGGGGACCTATTGTCCCCCCGACCCCCACCCCTGAGCGGTGGGTGGGGGCCCTAAATAACAATAAGGGAGACCTATTGTCCTCCCCCCATCCCCCACCCCTGAGCGGTTGGTGGGGACAATAAATAACAATAAGGAGAGGTACCTACTGTCCTCCCCCCCAGCCCCCCACCCCTGAACGGTGGGTGGGGGCCATAAATAAAAATTGGGGGGGGGACCTAATGTCCTCCCACCTGGCCCCCACCCCTGAGCAGTGGGTGGGGGCCATAAATAAAAATTGGGGGGGCCTAATGTACTCCCCCCCAACCCCCACCCCTGTACGGCGGGTGGGGGCCCTAAATAACAATAAGGGGGAGGGACCTAGTGTCCTCCCCCCGGCTCCACTCATGAGCGGTGGGTGGGGGCCTTAAATAAAAGGAACCATAAAAATAAAAATCCCCCCCCAGGTGACTAGTGGTCCCCAAACCAAAGTTCTTTGGAATTTTCCCACGCTGTGTAAAATGACACAGAGCACTCTGATTGGTGGATTAAGTAACCAATCAGAGTGTCATGAGTTAAATTACACAGCGTGGAAAAATTCCAAAGAACTTTCCCACGCTGTCTAAAATTACACAGAGCACTCTGATTGGCTGGATTTCAAGCTAACCAATCAGAGTGCTCTGTGTCATTTTACACAGCATGAGAAAGTTCTTTGGAATTTTATTTCGCCTTTTTTGGGGCTGAAAAAAAGAAGATTTCAGAAGAAAGAAGACATCAAATGGTAAGTCTTTTTTTTTTTTAACAGGTATTTAGACAAGGGTCCCCCCTCATTATTTTTAGGATGAGGGGGGAATGTAGGGGTAATTTTTTAGGGGGAAGGGGGGCGACAAGGGGTTTGGGGACCCCTAGTCACCTGGGGGGGATTTTTATTTATAGCCCCCACCCACCGCTCAGGGGTGGGGGCCGGGGGGGAAGACAGTAGGTCCCCCCCTTAGTTATTTAGGACCCCCACCCACAGCGCAGGGGTGGGGGCCGGGGGGAGGACATTAGGGCCCCCCATTTTTTATTTATGGCCCCCACCCACCGCTCAGGGGTGGGGGCTGGGGGAAGACAATAGGTCCCCCTTATTGTTATTTAGGGCCCCCACCGACTGCGCAGGGGTGGGGGCCGGGGATGACGACATTACCCCCCCTTATTGTTATTATTTATGGCCCCCATCCACCGCTCAGGGGTGGAGGCCAGGGGGGAGGACAGTAGGTCCCCCTTATTGTTATTTAGGGCCCCCACCCACCGCACAGGGGTGGTGGCTGGGGGGAGGACATTAGGTCCCCCCAATTTTTATTTATGGCCCCCCCTTATTGTTTAGACATTATGTCCCCCCTTTATTGTTATTTAAGGCCCCCACCCACCACGCAAGGGTGGGGGAAATAGTTTTTTTGGGTTGTTTTTTTACAGTGAGCAGCCACTGGCTGCTCACTGTTTACTAGACACACCCCTACTCGCAGTACAGCGAGTAGGGGCTGAATTTACTAATACTAAGTAATCTTTACTTAGTATTAGTAAATGTGGCTGAAAGACCAATTTAGGTGACCAATTTAGGTCTTTCAGCCTTTTGGTAGATAGCTCCCTAATACCGTGGGAATTAGGGCGTTATCTACTAAGCAGCTCCTTATTTTATGTTATTTTTAAGTGATTTCCCTATCCACATTTGTTTGCAGGGCACTTGTCCTACTCTTACCCCCATTTTACTTCCTTTTGCAGCCCTTTAGCCCTTTCCAGGAGTTTTTTAGAGCCATTTTTGTGCCCAAAAGTTTGGGTCCAATTGACTTCAATGGGGATTCGGGTTCAGGGTCAAGTTTGAGCCCGAACCCGGACTTTTTTTCAAAGTTCGGCCGAACCCGCCGGACTCGAACATCCAGGTTTCCGCTCAACTCTAATTATGACTACAAAGAAATATAAACATTTTCACAAATTTCTATTTAAATTTGACTCAATATAGCAGCAATATTCAGAAGAGGAATAACGTCTGCTAGATATGCTATTCTTCTGTTTTTGGTTAAAAAAAGAATTGTGCTTCACATGATAATGGTAACAAAGTAAGCAATTACATGTCTATTAAAACACAATGGCAGATAATGTGAGAAGTACTTCTAATATGATACATTAAAAGGAAACCATGTTTAATTATGAGAGTGCAAACCTATGCAGTTTTTGTATCTGCTTAATTTGGCTAAGGCCCAGCTTGATAAATTAGATCCCATGATGTTACTTAAGATAAGCATTGAAGTGAAGAATACCTAGTCTGTCCTGCTTGCATTAAAATTAGCTTAATGGAAAAAAAACAACAAACCTCTAAAAACATTTTAGCATTATCAACTAATTTTTAAAAGCAATGTTCTGAAGTGTTCCCCCGCTATAAGCAGATTCAATATGACATACCATTTATAACAAATCATTAGAATAATGTGATTAGAGTAAAAAAATAAAATCTCGTTAGTTGCCTACTTTATATTGTTTGCAATTATTCTGCAAATGACAAGATATTTCATTACTCTTATCTAGTAAAAGCACACAGATTCCTGTGAATTTAAATCAAAGGGATTTGGCCATCTAGAATGCAGTTAATAACTGTAAATTGTAAAAAAGACCATAAATACAGTCAAGAACATTATTTGGCAAACCTTTTCTTAAAATGCTTTATCGCTAATTTTAAATAGTAGTACCTTGAAGGAATGTTATAAATTATAATGGCCAGTTCTAAGAATAATAAGAAAAATTAAATATAATTCCTTACTATGCAAATGAGATGCATACATATCATTATCTTTGAGCGTAATAGAACAATTTAGTGTTACGTTATAGTCCAGGCATATTTGTAAAGGTTAACCAACACTGCTCTAGTAATTTCATAACTGTATAACCAATAGAGTGACAGGCAGCTATAAAAATATATAACATGTAAACTCTCAAGAGATGTTAGGTATATCACATACATTATATAGTGTATTAAACTAAATAATAAAAACAAGTATAAAGCTATATGGTGGCCACCTAGGATTAAAAAGATGATCAAATAGCAGAATTATTTCTGTAACCATTCAAATGCACATCATATTCTAAAGTTGCAAACATTTGTCACAATTCACTTTACCCCAATATGACATTATCATATTATCAAGCCTAAACATATGCAGGAGATAAAGCACCAGATCGGTTAGCACTAAAAGCATAATACTTAGCCGGCAAGTAGCCTCAAGTTAAGTCCCAGCTTGTATGTCCAAGGAACAAATAATAAAGGATCCAGATATGAAGAGGTGAAAGGTATGAGCTATCTCGTTAATGGTTGGTGCGCAGGGCCGGACTGGGAAATAAAAGCAGCCCTGGAAAAAAAATTCTATACCAGCCCAATAATGCGTCGCGCCAGCATAGTGTGCTGATGTAGAGGGTGAAAAAATAACTTGAAATTGAAAACTCTTACTCCAACGAAAGAACGCATATATGGCTTCAAAATAAACAAAAGAGCGCCTTTATTTTAAGTAGACGTACATTTGCATGTAATCAATGTTTCAGTACAACTACTTTGGCCTGTTAAGGACATTTTAGTAATGGTACTGAAATGCTGAATGTCTGCAGTTGCACAACTAAAAAACAATGAAGTAATCTTGTTTATTTTGAAGTTCTATGGGTGCGCTCTTCACTTTGAATATGTTATTGTGCATGAGTATGCAACTAGCAACAAGACTGGGCCAATACGGGCTCATTACATGCATATATATATATGTGTATTACTGTCAGGATCCCATCAATTTACGTCTATTACCTTTACCTCGTTTAGTGTATCTTGTCTCCAATTGTCTCCTTTTTTTCCTCTTACAGCGACCCTTGTGCATCTTTTACTTCATCCCAGTCCGTGTGTTTCTTTTAACCCTTCTCCAGCCTCTGTATTTCTCTTTCCCCCAGCCCCTTTTGTGTTGTTCTTACCCCTAGCCACTTTGTCTCTTTCTCCCCTTCCAAATCTCATCTGTGTGTCTCTTTCTAACTCCAGACTCTGTGTGCCTCTTTCTCTTCTCCCAGTCACTCTCTGTCTCTTTTTCCCCAGCCCAGCGTTGCCTCCCACAAATCTTGTGTCACTTTGTTCCCCTTCCCTACTGTATGTCTCTTTGTTCCCCCAACAAACCTTCTGTGTGTCTCTTTCTCTCCTCTCCTCCCTGTGTCTCTCTTCCCCATCTCCTCCCTGTGTCTCTCTTCCCCATCTCCTCCCTGTGTCTCTCTCTTACCCCTCTGTCTCTTTGTACCCCCATCCCCTGTGTCTTTCTATTACCCCTCTGTCTCTTTGTCCCCCCTTCCCTGGTGTCTCTCTATTACCCCATCTGTCTCAGTGTCCCCCCTTCCCTGGTGTCTCTCTATTACCCCTGTCTTTGTTCCCCCATCCCCTGTCTCTCTATTACCCCTCTGTCTCTTTGTCCCCCCCTTCCATGGTGTCTCTCTATTACCCCTCTCTTTGTCCCCCCATCCCCTGTCTCTCTATTACCCCATCTGTTTATGTGTCCCCCCGTTCCCTATGTCTCTATTACCCTCTGTCTCTTTGTCCCCCCCCAATCTAGTGTCTATTATACCTCTCTTTGTCCCCCCATCCCCTGTCTCTCTATTACCCCTCTGACTCTTTGTCCCCCCCAACCTAGTGTCTCTCTATTACCCCTCAATCTCTGTGTCCCCCCTTCCCCTGTGTTTCTATTACCACTCTATTTGTCCCCCCTTCTCCTCCTATTGTCCCCCCTTCCCATTCTCCTTCCCCTATTTTCCTGTGTGCCTGCTGACCTTGTCACAGGAGGACTGAGGGAGGGGGCGGAGCTAACTACCATGCTCCCTCGCGGTTGCCATAATTCCCAGCATGGACACATCATAGAGTAGTGATTACTCTATGATGTGTAGATGCTGGGAATCATGGGAACTGAGAAGGAGCATGCTAGTTAGCTCTGCCCCCTCCCTCAGTCCTCCTGTGCTGACAGCTATGCTGCTGTCAGTATCAGTGAGTGTATCACTGGATCACTTAGATGGCCTCCCGGCACACTCACTAATACTGACAGCAGTACAGCACAGGAGATGGGGCCGCCGGCCGCAAGGTGAGTAATCACCTCAGAGTGTGCCGCCGGACCGCCCCCCCGGCGGTACCGACATGCGGCCGGTGGCCGCAATATTATAAAAAAATAGAGAGCAGGGCTCAAGCTCTATCTCCAGACCCCCAGGTGCCGCGGCCCACCGGAAAAATTTCCCGGTATCCCGGTGGGCCAGTCCGGCCCTGTTGGTGCGTCTGCCAGGTGTTGTCCTTAACATTCGCTATGTATTATTTTTGTAGGTGTTGTTTTAAAGCCTCGCTAAGAGCTTGCCTTGTTACCATGGCCATGGCCATAGGAGTGCTGTGTAAGGATAATTCTGTGTTTTGCTTTATGCTCTAAAAGCAAAACACACCGGTTTTGGAGTAAGTCCTCTGGGTTTTTTAGTCTCTAGATTGTTGTTGTCTGCTAGAAGCAGAGTTATTTTTTCTCCCTTACTTGTTTCAGCTGCGACCTCCTTCTAATGAAAAATCCATGCCTAACACATTTGTTGGCCTCCCATATGTTTAGTAAAGATGTGTTGGTGGGAAGGTTATCATGAAAGTATGAACTAATTGCTTCCTGGGTTGTAATTAAACATTAACATCATAAAACATAGTGACATTTATTTTTGAGTCCCAAGTTTTGTTTGACAGGTCAGGTTGTCCAAGGGTTATATATACACATCCAAGTATTGGGACCTATATTTGCTTTCTGCATCAAATGTAGGTATCTATGCAGAATGAAGATAGAGTCTAAGTGGGAGTATGTTTTTTTTTAGCATGTTAGTAGAAGATGTAGTCGTTTATGTCTCGGTTAATACTTCTTCATGCATCACATTTCTCCATACAAGTGAGTTTAAACAAATGCTCCTCTGCTAGGAGGATTGAGTGGATATACCCTCACATCTGCTTCCCACTTTATCCAGGGGAGTGTTGAAATCTCCCCCACATATTAGTATGTACCTGGAAAAGTCTGCTAATCTGGATAATATTTTTAAGGAAGAATCCTTGTTTTTAATTTGGGGTGTATATGCTTGCAAAGGTGTATTTTTGAGAACCTATTAATCCCTTAACAAAAATAAATTGACCTTGGATATCATTTACCTGATGTGTGAGATTAAAGGTATATGTGATGCAAATAAAATCATGACTGTCGTCGTAAGTCTGATAGGAGATAGCACTGCCTCCCTGGCACATGAAGTCCCCTGCTAGTCAGAGTATTTAGAAAGGATATGCATTCTGAGCAACTTTGGAGTATATATTTAACTGTAAGTAATCATTGGGATTTCAACTCTAGTTTCAGTTTAATGGTTATCAAAGTGCGCAGGAGGGCAGAATGTGGTGTTATTTAAAAAAAATAAAAAATAATAATAATTATCGGTATCCCTATATCAATATTTTAGCATGGTCAGGGACAAAAGAGGTATTAAAAATGATATCATTGACCACAGAAAATACGTAGCTAATGCATTGAGATAACTATCACATTACCCATGTCGTACTACCCATGTTGTCTGGAAACAGAGAATAGCATCAGGTATGCTACTACTATTTCAGCAAATGTCTGGAACCGATGTGTGTGTAAAATAATCAAAATAACATTAAAAAAAGAAAAGAAAGTACGACCGTAAATGTCATAGTCTGCAGGGTGTTGTTGGTTTGTGTAACTCTGTCAAGTCCCAGCTGCTTATGTATTTAATTCTCCATCATCTTATGTTCAATCTTCTATGGGAGGCATAGTGGTAGTGGCTGCTGGTGAATCTACAGATCTTGTGGGGATTTTCTGTTTTCTTGTATAGTGGTTTGCTATTGTTGGCATTGCAACATATTGGAGTGTAATATGTGCAAGTCTCCATACCAGTTGCTAACAGTGACTTCTTGTAGGCCGAAATCTTGAACAAAAGGTGAAATGTTCTCTATAGTTTGAATTTGAGCAGTGGTGCGGTTGTGTGATGCTACCAGAGCAAATGTGAAGCTCCATCTATATTTTATAACTCACATCTACAGCACCCCTGGGCCCCTACACCCCACTAATATGGAAAGACCAGAACCATTACAAAAAAGTGAGGAATAAAGGAAAACATAAAATTTACTTACTTACAGGAAAATTAGATATATTGGAACTTATGTCAATTTGCCATACACAACAATGTCCGCACTTTGTAAAGGTTGTAATATCGACATTCAAAATCTTCATGGTGGGGGGAGCATTTCCTGGTGCTTGAAGAAAGCGGTCGCATGCCAGCATAGCTCTGTGCGACCATGACTTAATTATCAGGTTTATGAGAGACCCGCAAAGCTGAGACTACTTAGCCACAAAGTCTTAATGCAAGAGAAAGAGGCTCACCGACAGGGGGGATAAAAATTCATTCTTTGGGGTGAAAAACTAGATTCCGAAGCCAGCTCCCCTGCAGGATGAGACACAAGATGGCGCTGAAGAAGAGCAGGCCTACTCACAAGATGCTGCACACTCCTTCTCCCTGATCACACAAGGGATGCTGGACACCATAGATGACAAAATCCAGCAAACACTGCAAACCTCCCTAAAAAAAATATGCACTTACATATAAGAACTCAGAACTCTGACCACAACCTTGGAAGACAAGATGGCGGACATTGTGGAGACCCACAACGGCCTGGCTGCTAAAGTAGAAGAGATACTGATCCAAAATGACAACTTGGAGAGTAAAATGGTGGACATGGAGGACAGGGTGCGGAGGAACAAACTCCAATTAAGAGGTATTCCTGAGACTGTGGGCCCAGCAGATATATATGCCTATATATTAAGCTTATTCAAAACACTCATCCCTGAGATTTCACAAGATATGCTGCTATTAGACCGCCACCACAGGGTGCCAAAACCCCAGTTTATCTCAGCAGACATATCACGAGATGTATTGGTCCACATCCACTACTATCACATTAAGGAGGCAGTTCTCAAGGCCAGCAGATCTAAGAAGAACATGCCCTCACCACATCAAGGGGTCATGCTTTTTACGGACATTTCTGCATTCACGCTAAAAAAGGCACAAGACCTTTTCAGTAGTCACCAAATACTTGCGCAAGAACAAGATGCCTTACCGATGGGGATACTCCGTCAAGCTCCGGATTCCATACGAGGGGAAGATGGCAGTCTTCTCGACACCAGAAGCTGGTATAGCAGCCCTCCGAAGTTGGGGCTTGGAACTACCAAACGCCCCCACAGATAAGACGAGTGCACTGCAAATTTCACCGCCATGGAGGAAAGCAAGACCATGAGAATGAGACACCGAACAGCAGAGAGACTCGTATATGCCTCACAAAGTGATTGGGACTGCAAGTATTACTAAACACTGTTATTTTGTTTTATCCCAATAGCCTTTAACCCCTTAAGGACACATGACAGAGGAGGAAGGTAATGATGAGCAACCAAATCACACCCGGAGGGTGTTCTTGAAGGGGGGGTACTGTCACAGTTCTCGCCGCAGCAAACAGACGCCAGACGTGGTCACCCATGTGGTTCCCAACAAGGGACTTAAACCAGGAAACTTCGCAGTCCTGGTCCTGCTTCCTTCCTCTTAACCACAGCAGGTTTTGTATTCCACATGTCATTCTGGTCCTGTTCATCCTGGCATGTCTATTACTCTGGGGGCTGTACCTTGACTTTGGATGTGCTTCACCTGACCCTGATCAGACATTAGCAGGGTATTTAAACTCAGCCTCGCCCTGTGATCAGGATCAAGTTTTTGATCCTGTTGTGTGCTTTGTACCAGTGTTCCTGTCGTTTGAGCTGCTACTTGTTATTGACCCCGGCTTCTGACTACGTTAACTCTGACCTCTGGCATCCCTTGACTTTCGCTACTCCTCGTTGTTCCTGTCTTCTGGCATCCTTTGACCTCGGCTATCCTTTGATGATCCTGCTGTTTGAGTCCTTGCCTGTCCTGCGACTTGGTACTTCATCCTGCACAGCCCCCGTGCACAGACCCACAGGCCGGGTGAATTTTTACCTGACCACCTTGGCCTGTGGCTATCTGCAAGGGTGAGCAACATATCTGCGCTACAGACTCCCAACCCAGGTAAGACCCTGACACCAACCCATTCCCCATTACGAACAGCACTTGCCAGAGCTGCCCTCTATCCCCTCTACTATATTTATTAATACCAAATGTTGCAGACAAAGAGTCCTGTCCTTGTCAGCTGGGAATCCTTCAGTACCGCTATGGACTCACAATGCAAGACCACTGTGACCAAGCCAGCTCCACGTACCAAAAAATCTCAGATTCTTCGTAACCAAGAAACCCAGTACCACCACTACACCCAAGTGATATCTCCTTATGATCCTGTTCCTATGAAAACTCCTGAGGTATCCTGTGTTCCACTCGACTCTGAGGAACCTATGCAATTAGGACTTGTTCACTGCAAAGTGACACCTGAGGAAAGAGACCGAAGGAGAAGCCATGGCCTATGTTACTACTGTGGAGAAAGAGGGCATTTCATCACACTTTGCCCTGTTCGTCCTCCTAGACCTCCAGCTCTCCGACTGGGTACTACTTTCCTCCACCCTGTGTACACTGCATGCCAGCCGTGTCCCCGTCTTGTGACACAAAAGGGTACCCAAACTACTACAGTCAATGTTACCAGTGTCCCTCAAGAACCTGCAACCAGTACCCCTGTGGAATCTCCACCTCCTGCTCCAGAAACATCTAGACCTCTTCCTGATGACACTTCTGCTCAAGCAAGCACCATTACCACTTCCTGCCTTGCCAAAAAAGTTCTGCCACCTGACTGCACGTATGCCTCAAATGGCACAGTAGTATGCAAACAGGATCTAGAAATATTTGAAAAAGCATTGAAAGCTGCAAATACCTCCCCTGTGAGAACTACTAGAGCAAAGGCTACAGAAGGTGCTGTGTTTCCCTCTAATCTGGAAGAAGGCCGTACGTATGGTATGGATGCCTGTGGAAGAACGTACCTCCTGCCAGAACTACTAGAGCAAAGGCTACAGAAGGTGCTGTGTTTCCCTCTAATCTGGAAGAAGGCCGTACATATGGCATGGATGCCTGTGGAAGAACGTACCTGTTGCTATGCATAGTCTATCTGATTTACAGGTTTTATAGGGTAATTTACTAGCAGGTTTGCATAGTTCCAGGGAGAGACCTATTAAGAAGAGTATACATACTCTTCAAAATTAGTTATCTAGATATGGTCTGTATGCTTTATAATCACACTACCCAAGTGTCTTTCTTTTCTGTCCCAATATCCTTTTTAACCAGAGCACAGTATTCTTTGACTTTACTCCTGATACTTTGAGTTCTAAATTAATTTTTAATTGCATCAATTATTATTAGTAAGTAAACTACAATTTCTCAGAACATCCCTGCCCCCTGACCACACCCCACTCACACCCCTAAAATTAAAGTGTCTATAGTATCTATCCTTGTGAATTATTCAGAGGTATGTAGAAGAATTATACATGTGTCCAGTCACCAGGATCTAGAGATGCTCTCTTAACTTTGTCTGCCACTTAAGTATAAAGTGGGGTTGGGAAAAAGTGGAATCCATCACTTTATTACCAGAGGGAATATCTGGATATCTAAGGAATGTTCTACATGATACATTTATTCTTTTAACTGGGCAATATTTTGGTACTTCAGAGCCTTTCTCAAGGCTTTTGTAATACTACCAACCAATATAGTTCACGAATTCAGCTGTGGGAAAAATGTTTAGAGTCTCTGAGTGGGCAGATCTGAGGTCCATGCAAGGGAAACATGTCCCTATATCATTAAATTTCCAGGGCATTTGGAATAGGTCTAGGCAGGACATGAGGAAGTGACTGAGAATTGAGAAGTGAGACTTCAGAAGCATGTTCTATACACAAATACTGCTTAATCAAAAGTTGTTTTGGTGACTATAATGTCCCTTTAACATATTCAGCAACTTAATGCAAACAGTGCAACAGTTGTATTGTAACATCACAGAATTTTCAAAGTATAATTTAACTTTAAGCACTGACTCTTCTTCTTGTCATTATGTGAATAAATGGTTATAGAGAGTTTATTATCGTTTTATCCCATATTCTATTCATTTATAACATATTGTGTGCTTACGTACAAAGGAAAGCAAATTATACAGGGACTTTGAACACATAACACCAATATTATCTAGGTTGTGTATAATCTTACTGTGCATTATACAGTAATGATTCTGTGTTATTGTGCCAAGAGCATCCCGAAAACAGGTATTGCAGTATAACACTGGCACGGAAATATGAAATACATTTCATATGAAGCTGTCCTGACTACGGGGGCTCTGAGAATATTTTTGTAATTCATAATGCAGAAAATCCAATACATGGTGCCATCTGGTTCCTTTGCAGTCCAAAATATTTGCTAACACATGTTTTATTTTGCAAGGACAAAATAAATCACACTGAATTAAAAAATATTATTTATTTATTTTAGATGTTCACACATTCTGTATGTTTGCATGGATAATAGATTGAATATATATATATATATATATATATATATAGTGTTTTTATTAATTAAAATATATATTCTCATAATTTTAAATAGTTTTGATCCAGTGAGGTGTAGTTGGCTTTAAAAATTATAAAAAATATATAGGGTTTCTTCTGGCCATTATTTGTCTGAGGTTGCAACATGCTGTAGTTAGCTGCCCTCTTAAAACGGACACTATAATCACCAAAACAAACAGCTTAATAAAGAAGTTTTGGTGTATCGATCATGCCCATGCAGTCTCACTGCTCGATTCTCTGCCATTTAGAAGTTAACGCACTGTGTTTATGCAGCTCTAGTCACACCTGCACACACCTGACTTACACAGCTTTCCTAACAATTTCCTGTAAAGTGAGATCTAATCTTTACACTTCCTTTATTGCAAATTATGTTTAATTCAAAGTTTTGTATCTCCTGCTTTGTTAATAGCTGGCTAGACCCTGCAGAAGCTTCCTGAATGTAATTAAAGTTCAATTTACAGAGCAGGAGATACTTTAAAAGTGTGTAAGTTATCTCTGATTGAAAATAAAACTATTTAGTTTTCATTCATGCTTTGTGAGTCTGCTTACCTTTCAATGTTATTTATTGCAGTTTCTGAGAAGCTACAAATAATTACATTGCAGGGTTAAGACTGCCTCTAGTGGCTTTCAATCATCAGTCACTAGAGGCTTTTCCTGCATGCTAGGCGACTTTTGCATGCTCTGCATGAGGACATCCAGCATCAGTAAAATCCGTATAGGAAAGCATTTAAGCAATGGAGGGCCTAATGCACTTGCAGTACTCGCCACGCATGCCGCTAGCCTCCCCCTGTTGTCTGATGCATGAGGAGGTGACGCTTCGAGGGAGATCAGTTCTGGAGTCGGGTAAGTACAGGAAGGTGTTTTTAGCCCTTGCAGTGCTGGGGGGAGAAAGGGAGGGGCAGAGGAATCTATAGGGCTAGGAGTACAGATTTCTATTCCTAGCACTATAGTAACCATGTAAACCGAAACAAACGTGATTTAACTCCTAAATGATAGAAAACTGAGCAGTGAAAATGATTTATACAGAACTATTGCTTCATTTTGCTAAAGTGCCCCTTTAACTATTTAATAAACTTTAAATATGGATGTAGTTATATGTCTTCAAAGTAATTTGACAACTAGAACATCATTCATATTTCACTTTACAACTTAATCAAGGAATATAGAATTCTGAAAAAGAAACTTTATTAAATAAAACTCTAGTTTAAACATAAATACACAGGTACAGTAGCAAATATGTCAATGGGTATAGATCTTATATGTATTTATTGCATGAAAAGTTACAAAAAAGTGTACAAAAATTATAAAAATTGACACTCACCAAACTGAGTAGCAACCTCTTTTAGTGTGCAGTACTAATATCTGTAAATTCTGTAAAATACAAGTAAAATAACATCAAGAAAGAAACAAATTGGTTAACTAGAAAGTATGGATAACATATAAAACAGAATTTCACAATTTAGTCTAAAAAAAGCAGAGCTAGAAGGTCTGAGTTAGGGATTTTCTTTTGTGATTTGGCTAATTTAGCCCTAAATGTGCAGTTCTTTTGTGTATTAAGCACAATTCTTTGTTTAGTGAATACACCTTATACATATATGTGTTAAATGTATCAAGTTTTTCTACTGCAAATTTCCATAATACAGGGCACATCAATAGACTTTGCATTTTATTTATAACAGTTTTCAATAGTTC